AGTAGTAGTAGTAGTAGTAGTAGTAGTAGTAATAGTAGTAGTAGTAGTAGTAGTAGTAGTAGTAGTAGTAGTAGTAGTAGTAGTAATAGTAGTAGTAGTAGTAGTAGTAGTAGTAGCAGTAGTAGTAGCAGTAGTAGTAGTAGTCGTCGTCGTCGTCGTCGTCGTCGCCGTCGTCGTCGTCGTCGTCGTCGTCGTCGTCGTGCAGGTTGGAGTCGGACTTGGAACAGGAGCAGGACCAGGAACCGTATAATTAGTAATAGTCGGTTCCCCTCGTCGTAATCCTTCTCCGTTCATGATCTCCGATGCATGTTTGGGTTTGTCTGCTTTCTTTGTTAATGCCACAACGTGTGCCCCATGACTCTTGACCAACGTTCTGGGGAACAGTTCTTTTGACGGTCCCATGGGGGCTGGAGAACAGCCCTCGGAGACCGACCGTGGCCAGGCGCTTCCGCCTCGGCCCCCCTTCATCACCCTTCTGGCGGGTCGGGCCAGCCGCAACAGAGGGCACGGCGCGAGCCAAGGGCCAAGATCGGGGCGGAGGAGAAGGAGGAGGAAAAGAGGAGGCGAAGGAGGAGGAGGAGGAGAAGGATGAGGAGGACCAGTGTAAAACCAGGAGCCATCAACGATCATGGATTTAACCCTCCTTCCAAACTCCCTCTTCATGGGCCCCCACAGCGGTTCATTTCCATTTGAGGGAACTGCTTCGTTGGAAGACAAGCGTTTGACGATCCTGATGCATGCCAAAGCATTGTTTTACGGAATTCAACCAACGCCACGTATCAACCTGACTGCTGCGTCTTGACGATCTGGAATCGTGCCAGAGCGCGATTTGGGGGGACTTCAACACCGCGAACCAACAAACTTCTGCCACCCGGAATCCGTCCAGCACATCATTTCTTGTACGCTGATCATGGGAATCCGTGAAAGTCTTGCAAACTTTCAAAAACGAATATACGCGGCGCTTGGGCGAAAGCCACATCTTGAAAACGACCCGCCCTTAATCCGTGAATCTTTTGGTGAATGTTTAAAACGAATGTGCGCGGCGCTTAGGCGAAGAGCCACATTAAAAAAAGGAACCGCCTTCAATCCGTGAGGTCCTTGCAAATGCTTAAAACGAATGTGCGCGGCGCTTAGGCGACAGCCACATTTTGAAAACGACCCGCCCTCAATCCGTGACGCTCTTTGTGAACGAATGTGCGCGGCGCTTAGGCCAGAGCCACATTTTGCAAACGACCCGCCCTAAACCCGTGAAGCTCATTCAATGTGTTGAGAATTTGCGCGGCGCTAATGCGAGAGCCTCATTTTGAAAACGACCCCGCCTTCCATCTGTGAAGCTATTGTCATTGATCAAGTTGCAGAACCATTAGAGGTGAGGAAGTCTCAGGCGAAACGCCCGGCCCGCCCAAAAAACTTGCCTCGGGGTGCGACTGGGAGGAGTTATCTATAAGGAGAAGGATTGGAGGAGGTGGAGCTGGACGGTAATGCCGGTGATGCTGGTGCTGATGCTGATGATGGTGGTGGTGATGACGATGATGGTAATGATGATGACGATGATGATGATGATGATGATGATGATGATGATGATGATGATGATGATGATGATGATGATGATGATAATGATGCCAGATACAAAGGGCCCTTCCCTCGAGGCCTTCCGCCCAGGCCTCCGAGAGGCATGGTGCCCCTCAGGTCTGTCTCCCCCCCGCCGCTCTCCCCGTTGCCGCCCTCCCAGGCACTGGTTTGTCACAGCTTGGACCTCTGGAGGTCTCGACCCCGTTGTCTGGGACCCGCCTTGATTTTTTTCGACGCGAGCATGGCTGGGCCCGACCTCCCCGCCGCCGCACTCCGCGCTTGCGCCCCTGGCCCGAGTGCGCTCGACCGCGAGACTGGGCCGCCAGGCTCCTCCCTTCAGAGGTCTTCCCTCCTCGTGGACGGCCAGCTCCAGCGAAGTCAGCATGCGAAACCTGCACTAGCACACACCCGCACTTACACCCACACGCACATGTATATATATATATATATATATATATATATATGTATATACATATAACGGCGCACCGGGTCCGGGGGCCCGGGGCCGGGACCTCGACCGCAAATGTGCACCCCGGGGGCCCCGGAGGCTCGTCGGGGCTTGCCGGAGGCCTCCCCGGTCAGACAAGACGGCCCCAGAAACGCCCAAGACGGCCCAAGAAACTTCCAAGAGGCCTCCAAGAGGGCTCCGAGATGCTGAAGATGGCCTCCAGACGTCCAAGGACGCCCCCCAAGACGCCCCAAGAAGCCTCCAACATGCGTCCCAAGAGGGCCCCTAGACGCAAAAATTGGCCCATTCCCTTCGTAAAACGTACATTTTTCACAAAGTTGCCTTTTGGGCTTTCCGACGTTACAGGACGGCCCAAGAGGCGCCCAAGACCGCCCCAAGACGGCCCAAGAAGCTCCCAAGAGGGCCCCAGGACAGCCCAAGAGGGCCCCAAGACGGCCCAAGAGGCGCCCAAGATGGCCCAAGAGGGCCCCAAGACGGGCCCAAGAGGGGGCCCAGAGGGGGACCACGAACCGCAAGCTCGAGCCTTCCGCCCCAAGAGGCCGCCAGGAGGCCCCCAGGAGGCCCCTCAAGAGGCCCCAGGAGACCCCAGACGTCCAAGGACGCCCCCAAGAGGCTCCAAGAAGCCTCCAACATGCGTCCCAAGAGGGCCCCTAGACGCAAGAATTGGCCCATTCCCTTCGTAAAACGTACATTTTTAACAAAGTCGCCTTTTGGGCTTTCCGACGTTACAGGACGGCCCAAGAGGCGCCCAAGACCGCCCCAAGACCGCCCAAGAAGTTTCCCAGAGGGCCCCAGGACAGCCCAAGAGGGCCCCAAGACGGCCCAAGAGGCGCCCAAGATGGCCCAAGAGGGCCCCAAGACGGGCCCAAGAGGGGGCCCAGAGGGGGACCACGAACCGCAAGCTCGAGCCTTCCGCCCCAAGAGGCCGCCAGGAGGCCCCCAGGAGGCCCCTCAAGAGGCCCCAGGAGACCCCAGACGTCCAAGGACGCCCCCAAGAGGCCCCAAGAAGCCTCCAACATGCGTCCCAAGAGGGCCCCTAGATGCAAAAATTGGCCCATTCCCTTCGTAAAACGTACATTTTCAACAAAGTTGTCTTTTGGGCTTTCCGACGTTACAGGACGGCCCAAGAGGCGCCCAAGACCGCCCCAAGACGGCCCAAGAAGCTTCCAAGAGGGCCCCAGGACAGCCCAAGAGGGCCCCAAGACGGCCCAAGAGGCGCCCAAGATGGCCCAAGAGGGCCCCAAGACGGGCCCAAGAGGGGGCCCAGAGGGGACCCCACGTGGGCCCAAGGAGGCCCAAGAGGGACCCAAGAGAGCCCCAAGAGAGCCCCAACATCGGTCACGCGGAAGAGCTCTCGCGTGACCGATGTTGGGCCCCTCTGTGGGCTCCTCTTGGAGCTCCGAGAGGAGCCAAAGATGGCCCCACGAGGGCCCCGACGAGACCCCAAGAGGACCCAAGCAGGCCCAAGAGGGACCCAAGAGAGCCCCAGCATAGGTCACGCGGAAGAGCCCTCGCGTGACCGATGTTGAGCCCCTCTTTGGGCTCCTCTTGGAGCTCCAAGAGGGGCCCAAGATGGCCCCACGAGGGCCCCGAGGGAGCCCCACGTGGGCCCAAGGAGGCCCAAGGAACCCCAAGATGGCCCCAACATCGGTCACGCGGAAGAGCTATCGCGTGACCGATGTTGGGCCCCCTCTTTGGGCTCCTCTTGGTGCTCCGAGAGGAGCCCAAGATGGCCCCGCGAGGGCCCCGTCGAGACCCCAAGAGGGCCCAAGGAGGCCCAATAGGGCCCCAAGAGGGCCCCAACATCGGTCACGCGAAAGAGCTCGCGCGTGACCGATGTTGGGCCCCTCTGTGGGCTCCTCTTGGAGCTCCGAGAGGAGCCCAAGGTGGCCCCACGAGGGCCCCGACGAGCCCCAAGAGAGCCCAAGAGGGCCCCAAAAGCGCCCCAACATCTCCTCTCCTTCCTCCTCCTCCCTCCTCTGCATCTTCCTCCTCCTCCTCCTTCTCATCCTCCTCCTCCTCCTCCTCCTCCTCCTCCTTCTCCTCTCCAGGGGAATGAAAACCAGAGGATAGCTCACGGAGAGCCCAAGCACCCTCTTGTTGCATCCATCTTGGCTTCCAGATGGAGCCCAAGAAGGCCCCAAGGAGGCCCCTCAAGAGGCCCCAGGAGACCCCAGACGTCCAAGGACGCCCCCAAGACGCTTCGCGTCACCAATTTCTTCTCGCAGCGATTCCTGGGTCTGTGACTCGACAGAACCTAAGCGCGCGAAGCGCGCGCGTGGTTCTAGTTTATATATACGCATGTATCTATAGCCAAGCGCTGAGTGTTTAACACCATGGAAAACTATGTGGAATGGAATGCGAGAGGGAAGCCCAGCGTGGATCGCAAACCGCGTTCTTTCTAGCAATTGGTGTTGTGCTGTCTGCGTTGTGCAGTCTAAGTTGTGCAATCTACGTGGTTTCATCTATGTTGTGCAATCAGTCGTGTGCAATATATGTCGTGCAATACGTGGTGTACAGGGTGCTCTGTGCAATCTATGGTGTGTAGCCTATGTTTTGCGATATGGTGTGTGTGCAGTCACTATTGTGCAATATACGTGGCGATGCTTTGCATTACATGTTGTGCAAGACAGGTGGCCAATCATGTATATATTTAACTGACGCATATAAGTGTATACATGTATGCTTAAGTCTGTGAGGTGCCGGCTATGTGGTCACATGTATGTTGTGCAATTTCGGTTGTGCTATCTTTGTGGTGCGGTACATGTTGCGCCATCAAGGTTTCGTGTTCCACGTATCGCAACCTATTGGGGCCAAACTCAGTGGTGCAATGTACTGTGAGCGCTGTGATGGTGTTTGATTTGATGTGCGCAATCTATTGTGTGAAACCTGCGTAGTCAAGTCCAGCACCAGCAGGGGGCAAACTATGTTGTCCAGTATATATATATATACACACACTTGTATATTCGTGTACATTTATATGTGATAAACCCAATTCGGTGCATTCACCCGTGTGCAGTCTATGTAATATGTCCTATGTGGTACCTTATACGTGGTGTATTCTATGTGCAATCTATGTTGTATAATCGATCGGCTGCAATATATGTTGTGAAGTCTTTGTTGTGCACTATGTCGTACGCAATCCATCATGTGTAGCAATGTATGTGCAATCTAAGAAGTGTAATGTATAACCCCATATGCTGTACAGTGTATGTTGCGCAATTGATCTTTACACATTATTTGGCACATCCCATGCTCTTGCAAACACCCCACTCACCCACCCGCAACATGGTTTGCACACCTCTTAAGACCGACTACGACGACACCGACGACACCGACGACGACAACACCGACGACGACAACGACGACGACGACGACAACGACTACTACGACGTCTCCGACGACTTCGATGGCGACGCCAACGACGACGACGACGACGACGGCACCGACGACGATACCGACGACGACGACGCCGCCGACGCCGACGACGACGACGACGACCACGATGACAACGCCGACGACGGCAACGACGACGCCGACGACGACGACGTCGACGCCGCCGACGACGACGGCGACGACAACGCCGACGCCGACGACGACGACGATGACAACGCCGACGCCGACGACGACGCCGACGAAGCCGACGACGACGACGATGACGACGACGACGTCGCCAACGAAGACGACGACGACGAGGGAGGAGGGAGGACGACGATGGCGACAACGACTACAACGACGAGGGAGCAGGGAGGACGGCGACGACGCGAACGACGAAGAAGGAGGAAGGACGGCGACGCCGACCACGAAAACGACGAGGGAGGAGGGACGACGACGACGACGACGACGGCGACGAAATAGGAGGGGCGACGACGAGACGCCGACGACGGACGACGACGACGACGAGGGAGGAGGAGGAAGGACGACCACGGCGACAACGACGACGGAAACGACCACGACGCCAAAGAGGACGACGACGACGAACACGAGGAAAGACAAAGGACGACGTAGGCGACGACGACGATGACGCGGGAGGAGGGAGGACGGCGACGACGACGACGACGACGCAAGAGCGCGCGCGCACGGTTTTGTTAAAAATCCGTGTGGCGAAATCTTTTGTTTTTGTATGTGGTTTGGGCACGCGATGCTGAAATCTTTCCGAAACCGAACGGTTTTGAAGGATTTCGGCATACGCGCGCGACGACGCGCGCGTCTGCACTTCGTTTTTTTTTGTTGCAGAGGGTTCTCGCGACGGCACACGCGCAAGGGCGTTCGACAGATTTCGACATGCGCGCGCGCGAAGCCCGTTTGATAGCATGTTGTGAAAATCTGGAAAAAACCATGGTTTTTCTTAAGAGATCGCAAAAGCTCGCGCGTAAGTTTTTTTAGCAAACCAGTGTTGCGAAACCGTGTGTTTTTGTATGTGTTTTTGGAAATTCGATTGCGAAATCCTTCCTGCACCGAAGGTTTTTGAAAGATTTCGACATGCGTGCGCGACGACGCGCGCATGTCCACTTCGTCCCGTTGTTTTGTGAGGGATTCGTGAAACAGTCCTATGTCAGAACAAGAAATGTCCCCGCGTAGTGTTTTTCATAAGGGAACCTCAGGGGGACCGATACCTGCCCCCCGGGGATAGTGTGAACTCATAGTTCGGATGGACGTGTGGTCAGGATCATATACCATTTACATACCCGAAAGGGGTACGGATAACGCCGGGGGGTGGGTGGGGTGGTTGGGGGGGGGGTAGAGTTCTGTGATGCCCTCAGCGCGGTGCAACCTATGAAGGGCGACATTTGTGGTGTAATCGACGTTGTGCAACCTATGTGGTGCAATCTATACTGTGCGGACTGCGTGGTGCAACCCATGCGTTGCAATTCGCCAGTACGCGCAGGGAATTGTCCAACCCACTGC